AGTCTCTGCAGATTCCATCTCGGTCAGGGTCATGCATCGCCAACTTGCGTGGGTATGGATGATGAGGCACCCACGGCCTTCCATGAAGGTGTTTCCAGTCGGAGTGGTGAATGTGCTTGAAGCGCAGGGGAACAAGATCAATCAGCTTGTTTGAATCACAGTTGCAGCCGGGAATGTCGAAGTCGAGGATGTACACCCCATTCTCGGAGTGTGCTCGTCCGATCTGCCTACGCGCTTTGATCAGCGATGAGTAATGCAGAAGAATGTCACGTGTGCGGAGGTCGGTGCTGAGTTCGACTCCGCAGTCCATGAGTTGTGCTGCCGAAAGGAGATTGAAGGGCAAATTCTGGAAAATCAACACATCATTCAGTGTGATGTGTGTGCGGCTCCCTTGCGCATTCAGTACGACGATGCCTTGCGCGCTTGCGCGCAAACGAGCGTTGTTTGCCACAGTGATATAGGTGACCGTTGGGGTCGAGACGATGTTAGAGACAAATTTGCTCAGATCCGACCATGTACTGCCCGCAGCAGCTGTTGAGGTACCAGGTGTTGTACATATTGTTGTCGTCACCCGCGAGCAGCGCTAGTCGCGGTGTGATGATGTGTGGTGTGTCAAATTTCAGAAATTGTTCGCACGAGATCCAATCGATCGGTGCTGCCCGCGAGTCAGGTACGTGCGGGGGGCTTTCAAGCAGCGGGACTGGAAGGTTCCAGTCTTGAGCGTCATCGTCGCTAAAGTCGTGTCGAGTGGTGAACGGATTGTTGTGTGTGAACGCCCTGATTGGGTGGCGTGCTGGCTCAGGTGACGGCGTGCACACGCGGCGACGATGGGGACACAGAAGGGTTTGGGAAGCGAGGGTGGGGTGGAGAAAAGGGGAAACAGAGGCGCGATTGGGGGAGGGGGAGTAGAGAAAGAAGACATGGGGGAGGGAAAGGCCTAGCTGCAGAAAGGGTGCATGAGAATACCCCCGCCGCCTGCTGCATCCTGCCCTCGCGTCTCACGCGCTGCAACACCCGTGGCTCGCTGCCGGCGCGTCTCGCGCGATACAATAGCTTCTGAGGCTATGAGGCTCGCCGCGTCTCACGGTACAAATCTGACTCTGAGGCTTTCGGAGAAGGCTCGCTTCGTTCGGGACCTGCTGCTGCTACTATCGGTGGAACTACTACGAAATCACTTTTGATGATTCTCAAAAGTGACAAACCAACATTTCGCAACGCTTTTTGTACTTGGTGGAAATGTGGAACACGGAGCCTGCTGCATCTCGCTTGGGGTGTGATCTAGCAACATGTCTGAGTTTCGCGAACCAGGATTCGGAATGTCCCCAAAGAACTCGTGTTTCTACCCGAGCACCACGTGCAGCGGGAGAACAAGGCGAAACTCGTGCACGAGAAACGCAAAACAAAACTCGAACGTGGGATAATCAGTCTTGGTAGAACTATGGCTCACACCACGAAGTGCTCTCGCCGAGCTCGCCGCATCACTGGTGCTGTGAGAAAGATCTCGCCACATGCGATCAGGCCAGAACCGACCTGCGCCATTCCCGCGCACAGCCGAGTGCTTCGAGGGCGTCGCGCCGAAGCACCCACAGCACGCAACGGCGTCACCATCGTCCATGCCGCGCGACGGGAACGACGACGACGACAACGACGACGGGAACGACGACTCGCAAAGCGGTAAAGGACGTTGGTTATCCTGTCGGATTCGCTGAATCGACGAACATTTCGAGGCTTCACTCGGTGAGTTCTGCGTTTGTCTGGTGGAGGAACTGGGAACGCAAAATAGTAGTTGAACTTGGAAATGATGATGCGTGGCTTTTACGAAATCAAGGTAATCAGCAGCATATTTAGAGTATGAACTTGGACACGAAACTATATGGTCTAAATTGACCCTAATCTGTTACACTGGATGAAGAACCGAGACACAGCTGGCAAAGGAACAAATATGCCTCCACGAGCTGGGGCACTCGGACTTCCGTTGTGGAACAACGTTTGCTAAGGACGCTTCCAAGGCTTCGATTTACAGCAGCCTCACGTGAGCAAGACAAATTGAGATAAGCCCTGCTGCAACGCTACATTGATAGCCTGGCGCACTGGCGTCCCGTTTTCCTCCTCCAACGGCTACCCTGTGCGACGGAACTCGATCATGTGATTGGGGCACCTACTACGTTTCCGTCGCACATGTCATATGATTTCCTCGCCATAGGTCTACCAAGTCTTCATCTTAATGTCTTCCATACGCGTCTATGCAAGCTACGTTTTTGCGTATTCTGTTGCAGTAGCAGAGAGGCTGACGTTGCAAACGCTCAAATGTTTTACACTAGAATATACATAACCACAATGGTGCTCTAATACAGTAGTCGCCTGTTGACATGGCACGCACGCACACAGCATCTGGTCTGGTGCCCACCAGTAACAACTTGGCACATAATCATGTGATTATCCTGGCAGCACACTTCCAAGTTGGTCCCATTTTCCCTATTTAAGCCACTCGCATTAACCACATTGAATTACTTCAGCTACCATAATGACTAAATGTTGGCACTTGTCAAACACTTGAGTAGTCGCCAAACGAATCCCCTTCCAGGATTTTGTCAATGCTCTGCAGATGAGCATCCGCGGAAGTCAAGCCTTTGATCTCTCGCACTTTCTCATCCACTTAAACTGCTGCACTGAGCTCCTCCTTCCCCACCACCTTATTCCTGATCTTCTGCAGCTCATTGGCAATGTCTGTCATGCTTGGCCGGCTTGCAATCCCCTCCACCTGACGGATTGGGCAATGTGGGGAAGCCAGCACCAACTTAAAGAACGAAAATGATATGCTCAATGCGAGACACACAAAGATCGACCAGCGCCTTTAACAGTGCCATGTGCAGCGGTGCTAGCATGTGTGCCAGTCGTGCCATGTGTACCAGTCGTGCCATGTGTGCCAGTAGTGCCATGTGTGCCAGTCATGCCATGTGTGCCAGTTGTGCCATGTGTGCCAATCATGCCATGTGTGCCAATCATGCCATGTGTGCCAATCGTGCCATGACACATGCATTCCTAGCAACCATATTGGGTAATGTGCCGTGACACATTCATTCATATGCTTACCCATGCCAGGATGTGGACGTTCTCTCCTTCATTCGTGCCGAATGGGTTTCGACTGGTGAGCATCACAAGCATGAGCACACCGAAGCTGCACACAGACAGATGAGGAAGGATTGACAGCATCAGGTGCACCCCATTCATACCCCATTTGACAGCATCAGGTGCAGTCCTCTGCACTTTCCACCCCATGATCACCCTATAAAACGGCGGCTTCAGCTTGTGAGGTCCACAAGCATGAGCACACCGAACCTGCACACATAGAGGGGGAGGAATTAACATCAAATGCCGTGTTCTGCACTTCCCATCACATCATGGGCGGCAGGTGAGGACCACAAGCATGAGCACATAAAATTGCCCAGCTGGATTGGTGTACGTGTATCACACACGAACACCAATGATCATCAAGACATAATAGGATACAAAAAGAACAAGCGTACGTACCCAGTCTCCAAAATCAGCAGCTAGAGCAGTTGTTGTGAATGAAAGCTCACCTGTAGACATCGGTGGCTCTGGTTGCCTTGGAGGTCCGTGAGTAGATGGGATCCACATAAACCGGTGTTCCCACTATGGTGCTGGTTGGATTCGAACAAAACTCAACCGGATGAGCTGTTTGTAATCTCAAATAGCTCGACGACAGCAATAGCTCACCTGTAGACATCAGTGGCTCTGGTTGCCTTTGAGGTCTGTGAGTAGATGGGATCCGCATAGCCCGGTGTGCCCATCACTCGAGTTGTGCCCACTGTCGTGCCCTCCTCCACCCTCACAAGCCCAAAGTCTGCAACCTTGGCCTGATGGATGGTATGAGCAAGAAAGTGGCGAACGGAAGTTGAGGAGCTAGTGTTTTTGTACTTGGTGGTGCACATCTGAATTTAGACTGCATGGAGCAACTTACCACAAAGCTCAGATGGACTTCAATCACAACCTAATGACTGACTGACAATTTAAAATGGACATGCATATTCAGTGTTATACGTAAGATCCGAAGTCACACCAAAGAATGAAAGCCATTGCCGTACCATCCGGCTCGGATGATGATAACAACATGCATTTCTATGCTCCGTGACAAAGCATGACCTCGAGTAGAGAGCAAAAAAACTGCTCGGTGCAGAAAGGGGAAAACTTCCTCGCACAAAGCTTGCCTGCATCTTTTCTCCAAGGAGGATGTTGGCGGGTTTGATATCGCGATGCACAAGGCCAAAGCTGTGGAGATACTCAAAGCCACGTGCCGCACCAATGAGGATGTCCAGCCGCTGCTTCAAGGTGAGGGGAAAGGGCACCTCTGCAAAGCAACATAACACACACAATCATGTGTGAGTTTTGATTTTTTCATGCAAGGAAGCAAGGCAAGAAAGAGCATGGTCAGCAGCGGAGATCCACATACTTTCACTCATCCACACCTTGACATCCCCATTGGGAACAAACTCGTAGATCAAGACTTGCTCTGGTCGTGTCCTCATGTCCCCTCCAATGGCAAACCCAAGCAGCCCCACGATGTTGGGATGGTTCTTTTCAGCCATTTGTCGCACCTGCGAGAGGAGCATGGCATCATGGGTTGGGTTAGCACAGATCTCAACAATGTGGATAGAATATCTACACATGGTTTTGGATGGTAGACAATTATGTCGATTTCTCGAGCGTCATAGGGAAAGCATGGGACAGAAGAGGACACAAAACACACGTGCAAGGTCTTTGCCGTATGTGATTGATCGCGTAAGGAAAAAAAAAACGGTTTATTTATTAAACACAACGTGTTTTCTTATGTCGTTTTTCGTGGTTGTTTCTTTATACAAATGGCCGTTACTTTGTTAAGAGGGCTCTGGTCACATTAAAAAAAGGGAAAAGGAATGGTCGTTTTTTTTCTCAATTATAGCCACAAAGCCAAGGACCGATAGTTATGTTAACTTGATGAATTAGTACTCCACCTCCCCATTGTCCTGCATAATCATGGTCCCATGGGTTAGTGTCCCCCCTGGTTTGTAAAAGAAAACCACCGTATTTTAAATTAAACGCACCACCTCCTGAAACCGAAATGATACGTTTAACGATGCCCTTTTCGTTACATATAAATAAAAGCCAGTTTTGTTTCCACCTCTCGCTGGAAGTCAGCTTCAAGCAGCTTGGCGTGCTTGACGGCCCACAGGGTGGTGCCATCGCGTGGAGACACGCCCTTGTACATGTCACCAAAGGCGCCCGACCTGAGCTGGTTGTCACTCGCACAGTTGCTGGTGGCTGTGAGCACTTCCTCCAGGGAGTACTCCGTGAAGTGCGAGGCCGCCACGCTGCCCGCCAGACCTGTAAATGGTTTGGATAAAAAGGGTGAGGAGGGGTGGTGTGGGGTGTAAGGTACTGAGGTGGTTGGTTGTTTCCATGCCTGAACAGTTGCTGGTGGCTATGAGCACTTCCTCCAGGGAGTACTCCGTGCCGTGAGCGGCCGCCACGCTGCCCACCAGACCTGCTCGTGGGATGAGGGATAGATGCACAGAGCACATGCAAGGCTTGTTTGTGAGATGAGTAAGAGAAGGTGCACGGCTCGTGGGATGAGGAAAAAATGCACATAGCCATGCCCAGGTTCCATTGTCGTGGCTGTGCAAGCTGTCCATTGTGTTGCAGCTGTTGCCAAGCTGCTGGTCATGGAATCCAATCCATTGTGCTGACGAAATGTTTGCGAGTGCAAGGTCTATTTCATAAAAGCAGTGGAATTAGGTGGGAGAGGAGGTAGGAAAGGGGACGACACATATTCGCACCTTGGGAATCCGTCTGTACTGCATCCTTGCCCTCCTCGTCTGCTGCTGCTGCTTTTGTGCTGCACCTCTCACTTTCTTGTACCTCCTCCAACATAGCAGCGTGCCAATCAGCAGAAGCAGCAGGGAAGCCACAGAAGCCACTGCAATGCCAGCAATGGCTGCTGCTGACAGGCCGCCAGACTCGAAGGAGGACGTTGTAGGCGACGGAGGGGATGCTGGGGAGGCAGTGGGAGAGGGTGGAGACGCTGCAGTGCTCCCTGGAGGCAGGGAGGGGCCCGCTGGGGGAAGCACGGGGCGGGTTGGAGATGGGAAGGCAAGGGATGGAATGAGTAGTAAAGCTAATCAAGAGTAGCAGTAGGGAAGCCACAGCAGCCAGGGCAATGGCTGCTGCTGACAGACTGCTGGACTCGGAGGAGGGCGTTGCAGGTGAGGGGGGAGATGCTGGGGAGGCAGTGGGGCGGGATGGGGATGCTGCAGTGCTCCCTGGCGATGGGGAGGGGGCCGCTGAAGAAGGCAAGAGGCAGGTTGGACATGGGTGAGGGGAATGGTTGGACATGGGTGAGGGGAATGGATGGACATGGGAGGGGAATGGATTGACATGGGTGAGGGGAATGGATGGACATGGGAGGGGAATGGATAGACATGGGAGGGGAATGGTTGGACATGGGAGGGGAATGGATGGACATGGGAAGGGAATGGATGGACATGGGAGGGGAGTGGATGGACATGGGAGGGGAATGGATGGACACGGGTGAGGGGAATGGATGGACATGGGAGGGGAATGGATGGACATGGGAGGGGAATGGTTGGACATGGGAGGGGAATGGATGGACATGGGAGGGGAATGGATGGACATGGGAGGGGAATGGATGGACATGGGAGGGGAATGGATGGACATGGGTGAGGGGAATGGACGGACATGGGAGGGGAATGGATGGACATGGGTGAGGGGAATGGATGGACATGGGTGAGGGGAATGGATGGACATGGATGAGGGGAATCGATGGACATGGGTGAGGGGATAACAACAGTTGCATACAAGGGGAGAGACCCTCAGAAAGGTCTTGTGTTGAAGGGAAAACATCTTGATATTGGTCGAGCACATGATTTGCACGTGAAAGAGATCTGTTGACGTCTCAAAAGGCACATGATTCAAAATGGTTTTGTGCAGTCCAAGAAGAGTAGTAGCACTTGAGCCGTGCATGGAGACTCTGGGGAGGGGGTTCGGTTTAGGGGTGTGGATGAAGTGGACAGGCACATTGAAACTGCTTCTCAGGTGCCCCAAAGTCGCACTGAAAGTGAAACTCAAAATTAAAAGGAGAAACAACCTTTGGAAGGGGAGGATCTTATTAGAAATGTATGTATAGCATGCTAAGTATAGAAGGGGTTGGGGCTACACCCAATTTTGGGTGTAGCTTGCTTTGTAGGCCTACACCCAACTTTGGGGTGTAGACTGCAAGTTGGGGTGCCAATCCAACCCACAAGTGTTGGAGCCCCCAAGTGCAAGTTGGGTACCCCTTCTTTGCAACCCACAAGTTGGGTGCCCCCTCCTTGCAACCCACATGGTCCTTGTTGCAAGTTGGGTGCCCCCTCCTTGCAAGTTGCCATAGAGACTACCCAACCACCCAACTTTCCCCCTTCCCTTCCAAGCTTCTCTTGCATCCTATGTATGCTCTCTTGTTCCCCAGTGAAGCTAATAATTCAGTTTACATTTTTCACATGGTATAGAGCTAAGTTTTTCTAAGGCCTTACCTCCCCCCTCCAGTTTTTTTTTCCCAAGGGCCCACCATACGCTTCCCTCACGCCGCGACATCACCGTCGCCGTCGTCCTCCCTTCCCACCGCGACCTTTCCGTCGCCATCGTCCCCCCCCCCCCCCCCTCTCCCCATCTCGGCGCTTTCCCGCCGCAGCTTCCTTGCCGCCGCCCGTGCCTTTCCGCCGCGGCCCCCTTCCTCCCCCCCCTCCGCAATTTCCACCACCGCAATTCCGCTGCGGATTTTGCCACCGCGTCCCGCGGATTTCGCCGCCCGTGCCTCTCCGCCCGCGGATTTCACCGCCGCGATCGCTACGTCGCCGCCCTCTAATCCCGCCGCCACGAACTTTCCGTTGCCGCCTGCCCTCCCAGCCGCCGCGACCTTTTCGTCGCCGCCTGCCCTTCCAGCCGCCGTGACCACGCCGTCGCCGCCTGGCCCTTCCGCTGCCGCGACCTTCTTGTCGCCGCCTGCCCGTCCCGCCGCCGCGACTACGTCGTTGCCGCTTGTGGTACCCCCCGCCGCGACTGCACGTCGCCGCCTGCACATCCAACCGCCGCGACTGCCCCGTCGTCGCCAGCACGTCCCGCCGCCGCGACTGCGCCGCCGTCGCCCGCAATTTTCGCCGCCGTGACTGCACCGCCGTCGCCCGCGATTTGCGCCGCCACGACTGCACCTTCGCCGCCTCCGATTCCCGCCGCCGCGACTGCGCGTCGCCTCCTGCGCATCCCGCCACCGCGACCATCCCCCCTCCCCGCCGTGATTGCGCCGTCCCTGCCCGCAACCACATCGTCGCCGCCTGCCCATCCCGCCACCGCGACCCCGTCACACCCTGCATACTCCGCCGCCACTACACCCTCCCCCCCCCCTCGCCGCTCTCTCCCCGCCATTTCAGCCACCGCAGCAGCGGCAGCAGCGGCAGCAGCGGCAGCCGCACCAGCGGCTGCATCCTCCTTCCCCCCCCCCTCTCCCTCCTCCTCTCCCTCTCCCTTCTCCTCGGCAGCAACGGTAGCAGGAGCAGCAGCGGCAGCAGCGGCCACAGCGGCAGCAGCGGCGGCAGCGGCAGCAGCCGGAGGGGTCCAGAAGCAGCAGCAGCCGGCGGAGTGCACCAGCTCCAGCAGCCGGCGGAGTGCACCAGCTCCAGCAGCAGCGCCCCCCCCCCCCCCCCCCCCTTTGGCCGCCGCGGGTCCACCTGCCGTCGCCTCCCCCTTGACCGTCGCGGGTCCACCCGCCGTCGTCTCCTCCTTGGCCGCTGCGGGTCCACCCGCCGCCACCCCTCATGGCTACCACCCCTCCTGCCCCTCTCCCCCCTCCCATCGACGCCTCCTCGGTCGACAAGCTGCAGCTTGCTGCAGATCGCTCTGCCATCAACTGGCACTCGTTTGTCGGCAGCATTTGCCGCGTCCTTCAGGACGCCTTCGTCGGACCCTACTGCGTCCTTGACGTTCTCCTCCGCCGTCCGCAGGCTCTCCAGCTGACCGCACCCAATCACCTTGGCGAACCTCCTCCTCTCCCTTCCCCTCCTGACTCCCCTCCTCCTGAGCCTAACCTGGACGTGGCCGCTGCCCCCGAGCTTCAGGCTGCTGCGGACACCACCTTCCTCCACAACCGCAGCGAGTACCTCATCCTCAAAGTCGACCATGAGGTTGCTATGCTCAACCACGAATTTGCATCATCGGAGCGTGCCACTCGCCTGGCGCTGATTGCGGATTACAACACCTCCATGGCGGCTTACGTCCCCAACAGCATCGCCTGAGCCGCTGCCGACAACCGCGTCTGCACCATCCTCCTCGGTGCACTCCCCAATGCCCTAATGCGCCGCTTCCAAGCTCGTGAGATGTGAGCCCACCTGATTTGGACCGAGCTCCAATCTATGTTCGAGCGCCGCGACATCAGCTCCGTCGGCGTTCTCTTCCAGGACTACTTCTCCATTACCCTCGCCACCTGCAACGGCGCAGTCGACTATGTGGGGCGCATGCAGGAGGTAGCCGATCGCCTTGCCGCTCGCTAGGCTGCCCTTTCCGAGCCCCTGAAGATTCATTGTCTGCTCTTCAACCTCACGCCGGATTACGAGTCCCGCCCGCACGCCTTCACCGAGGCAAACCCCTTGGCTGGCCTCACCAAGGTGACTCAGTGGATCATTGACACGGAGGTCAAGCTCCGCACCCCCTTTGTCACGGTCGTGGAGGGGGCGGAGGTGGTGGTGGTGGTCGGGGTGTTGGCGGTGGTGGCGGTGGTGGCCGTGGTGGTGGTGGTGGTCCTGGTCCTGGTGGTACCACTCCTGGAGGTTCCTCTAGTGCCGGTGGAGCTGTGAGCCGTGGTGGTCGCCCTAGGACTCTCCCCCCCTGCATGTACGTTCGCCGTCATGGTCCCCACGCCGGCACGCCGTGTGGTCAGACCAACCACCCCCCTGCCACATGCTTCAAGGCACTCGATGACGCCTGGTTTGACCGCGGCAACACTGGTACCCCTCCTCGCTGGAACAGTGTTACCCCTCGCCCCTCCCTCATGGACATTCAGACCCTCCCCTTCTTCCTCCCCACTCACCTCCGCCTGCTCACCCCCTCCCCCCCTTCCCAGCTGCAGCAGTTTCAGCAGCACCAGCAGCAACAGCAGCAGTACTTCCCGCAGCAGCAGCAGCCACAATTTCTCCAGCCGCAGTAGCCGCAATTTCTCCAGCCGCAGCAGCCGCGATTTCTCCAGCCGCAGCAGCCGCAATTTCTCCAGCCGCAGCAGCCACCGCAGCAGTTGTTCTTCCAGCAGCAGCAGCTGCCGCAGTTCCTTCAGCCGCAGTGGCAGCAGCAGCCGATGACCTTCGGCACAGCGGCCATGGCCGCTCATGCCTCCCTTGCTCCCCCCCCCCTGGGGTTCCATCCCCTCTGCCCCCCCCGGTGTCCCTGACTCTCAGGGCAGTTTCTTTGGTCATGTTGCTGTTGCACCATCCGTCGTTTCCATGTATCTCTCTGCTATCAATGAGATGTCTTTCTAGTAACCCGTGTCACTTCCCCCTCCTTCCTCCCCCACCTTGGACTTGTCCTTGATAGTGGGGCCACGGAAACTGCACTCAAAGACGCCGGCACCCTCACCCCCCTTCCACTTCCCACCCAGATCCATGGTGCTGATTCCAGCTTCTCCATCCCATGCACTCACCTCTCCACCCTCCCTTGCACAGCTTTCCCATCCAATAAGGTCACAGCCTCTGGTAGCTTCCTTCAGCGCATTCCCCTTTGCCCTCGCACTCGCCTTTATACGCTCCGCACACCCCGTCCCTCTTTCGGTCATGTTACCACTCGTGCGGGTACTTCCATCGGTCCTCCTCCCCCTCTCCCTCCCCCTCAGGTATCCTCCTCCCCTACTTCACCCCCCTCCTCCTCCCTCCCCACCTCATCTCCCAGCCCACCCCCCTCCTCCTCTACTGCCCTCTCCCACCCAACAGTAATTTTGCATCACAGACTCGGCCATCCCAACTTCGCTGCACTTCGCACCACTGTCACCTCTCGCCTGCTTAACAGCCTCCCTCCCACCTCACCTCCCCTCCCCTCCTCCCCTGCTCCCCCATGCCCATCATGCATTCATGGCAAGCTCAAACAGTCCCCCCATCACAGCAATCCCACCTTTGCTGCCGCTCCCATTGACCTTGTCCACATGGATCTCTGGGGTCCCTATCCCATCCGCTCCCGTCAGGGACACCGGTACATGCTCGTCCTCGTCGACGACCACAGTCGGTACTCCACTGTCTTTTTCCTTCACACCAAAGACCAGGTGCCGGGTGTGGTCATCAACTAGGCTGAGCAGTGCCGCACTCACTTCAAACGCCACATTGGCCGCCTTCACTCTGACGGTGGGGGTGAGTTCATCAACAACATGTTAGAGGGCCCTACGACAGCAAGGGCCCTCGCGAAGCGTTTGACTTGGCAGGTCGGCGACTGACGACCTACTGCCTCGGCACCAATCTCCGTGACGGTCACATGTCTGTGGCGCGTGACTCCTAGCGGTGGCAACGAACTTGGAGAAGTGATGGATTCGGTGTGAGGAGGCATGATTCTTTGGGAGTCGGTGGTGCTTCTTTGACAATCACGCCACTCCTTGCAGTGTTGGCTGGAGTGGCGTGCTCGGAATGCATTTCGCTGTTGAGTTGGATGGAAGTTCGGCGGGGCGCGTTCACCCACCCGCACACCACTTTCGTTGGGTTGGGTTACACCGAAGCGCCACGCAACATTTGTGCAACTCTTGTTTGCCTATATTTTGCATGTGTTTTTGCTTTTGTATTCATGGATCATATTACATTTCCTGTGAAGTCCAATTGCTACTTGAATTCTCACTAAGTGCTTGGAGACGAACACTACTTCAACGCTACCGAGTTGCTGGCGCAACACCATTCTCATATCAGAAACTCTCTCGCTATCGCTACGCTCTCCATAGTATTCCTTCACAACACCCTCGCCACCTTCTGCAAAACACATCGCATTCAGCAGACCTCCACCCTCCCCCACTCCCCTCAGCAAAATGGCATTGCTGAGAGTCGCATTCGTGAAATCACCAAAATTGCCCGTTGCCTCATTGTCAGGCCTCCACCCCTCCTTCCCTTTGGAGCTATGCCCTTTTTCATGCCGCCCTCCTTCTCAATCTCCGCTCCCACCCTCAGCATCCCTCCTCCTCCCCCACAGAACTCTGGTCTTAGGCCAAGCCTGATGTTGCCGGCCTTCACGTTTGGGGCTGCAAGTCCTTCGTCCTCATCCCACCGACCGATTGCTCCCACGCCGCTGGTAAGCTCGCCCCTCATGCCCTGGAGTGCGTCTACCTCGGGCACAATCGTGGCTCCCCAGGCTACCTGTTCCTCCACCCTCCCACCAACCGTCTCATCCGCAGCATTGACCTCGTCTTCGACGAGTCAATTCCCTACTACTCCACTCCTCCTCCTGACCCTCTCCCTCCTCCCTCTCGCCCCCTCGCCTGGACCGACACTGTCCTCCCACCTCTCCTCCCTCCCGCTCCTCTCCTCCCTCCTGACGCCGCTCCACTCCCTACGTCCTCCTCTGCCGACGTCTATGAACTCGCCGCACCCGCCTCCTCGGCCCACACAGCTGCGCCACCTCCCCCCTCTCCCTCCTCCTCTCACTCTCCCCCTTCTCTGCAGCGGCCGGGCCGGCAGCAGCAGCAGCAGCCGAGTCATCAGCAGGGGCAGCAGCAGCAGCAGCAGCAACAGCAGCCAGGTCAGCAGCAGCCGGGTCAGCAGCAGGGGCAGCAGCAGCAGCCACGGCAGCAGCACCGTGCAACTTCCCGCTCCTCCCCTTTCCTCCCCCCTCGCATGCACACCCGCTCCCTGGACAGGCTCATTGGAGCCCCTCCTCCCGCCTCCATCCAGCTCCTTGAGGACTCCCATGAGAGTTCCTCCACATTCGGCACCACACTCCTTTCCTTGCCTCCAACTTCCTTGACTTCCTTGGCCTTCCCGTCCTTGGCGCCACCTCCATCCCCACCATCTGTCAAAGTAATGAACGAGAATGAATGAACTAGCAAAGAGTTGGGTACAAGTACTAACCCTAATTGGGTTATACCCCTTATGGGCTACCCCACTACAGCCTACACAAATGTATAAGCTATAATGTTCTGACACACCCCCATAGGCAAAGTGGGGGAGAATAAGTGGTCACAAGACCAGTCAAGAAAAGCAAAAGCAAGCTCAGGGTGGATCACAAAGTCACCACACAGTCGAGCACAAGCAAAGGGCCACAAGGCCAGTTCACATGCACAGATATATAAAGAGAACAAACAATACAGTGATCATACCCTAGCAAGTGCAAGCATGCAGGTATATATATAGATCACAGTACAAGCAGAGTCAAGCAGTAAGTAAGTGAGGCAAAGTAGGCACAAGGCCTAACACAGTAACAAAGCGCTGATGATCACCACGCGGAAGTGCCTTGGTGAAGACATCAGCAGTGTTGGCCCGAGTGGCCACGTACGCAAGACGAAGCTGGCCACGCTGCTGCAACTCTCGAGCAAGGAAGTATCGCAGAGCGATGTGCTTCGTTCTTTGCTCCTGTCTGTGCTCCTGACACAAGGCAATCATGGCCTTGTTGTCTACGTACAGAACTGGAGGCGAACGAGGCTACTCTCCCAAGTCGGTCAGCAGGTAGGTGAGCCAACGTAGCTCCTGAGCAGCCATGGCCACGGCGTAGATCTCAGCCTCATAACTGGAGATGAGAACCGAAGACGAGCGGGTAGACCGCCAAGAAACAGACCCGGAACCAAGGCTGAAGGTGTAACCCTGTGACGACCGCTGAGTAGCTGAGTCGTCAACCCAGGAGGCGTCTGCGTGACCGGTGAGGACAACTGGACCCCGTCCTCCAAGCACGAGCCCCACGCCTGACGTACTGCACAAGTAACGCAGTACCCTCTTCGCAGCATCCCAATGCACCTTTCGGTGCCTGCCGGGAGCCACGTAGCGAGCCAGGAGGCTGAGAGGGTACGCGAGGTCGGGTCGAGTGCACGTCATCAGGTACATGAGGCAACCCACAATTCTGGGTACGGACCACTCGGCTCTACGGACTCGTGCAAAGGTGGAGCTGAGAGCGAGTGGCTGGTTGACAGAGGAGTGAGCTGTGGCGAGGAGAACTGGAAGCCAAAACGCTGAAGGAC